CTGACTCTATTTTCAAAAGGAGAAATAAAGCTATGGGTTCCATGAGAAAGAGAGTGAGACCTTAAAAGAGGTCTTGTCTCAGTATAAGGAATATTTCTGGGATCATCAAATTGAACATAGACAGTTCCTTCATCTGTCTGGGTGATGTTACTAAAATCACTTTGGATTATAGGTTGTCTAGGGATATTCCTAGCCAGAAACCATCCTTCTGGGAAGACTATTTCATCCCATTTGATAGATCTACGAGTTTGAATCTTAGACCTATTAAAATTGGTTTCTATTAGAATAGTTTCATTTTTATCCTTATCAACTCTTTTACACCTGGGGTTGAGAGTAAATAAGGGTTTAAAATAAATTCTATAGCAAATACAGAAGACTTCTGTTCCTGCAGTGTAATTATAATCATCATAAGATGAAAAGAAAGTATTCAAAGATCACCTTCACATGACTGAAGAACATCATCATCATCATCATCATCATCATCATCACCATCATCATCACCATCATCATCATCATCAGAGCTGCTCACAAATAGGCTTCAGTTCCTCAAAAAGCAAAAAACATTAGCACATATGATATGGGTATCCATGTATTTCACTATATCTCATAATTGTTTCCAACATCATCAAATCTGAATACTATTACAACCTCTCATTGGAAACTACACCTTAGACCTCATAACAATCAACTTTAATAACAATATGATTTCCTACCAAAATATCTCACTGATTTTAGAATTACTGACAATTTTTGCATCAATTGATTATATTTAGAGAGCTTTCAGGGTCCTTTCTCACATTGATCAAGTAGCCTTTTTTGGGCCATTGTTTTCTTCAGGGATATCCTTTTTCTCCATGACATTGTTTTCATCAGAGTTATCCTTTTTCTCCATGACTTCTTGAATGCCTTCTTGGTACCCTTTTATGAAGCTCGTCAGTGCATCTCTGTAAGCAGAGGCTCTAGTCATGTAAACCCGCTGCAAAGCTGGTCTAAGCGTCTCCATTCCACCTCGAGCAGCGACAGCTACCATCCATGCACAAGGTCAGAAAGTTCATGTTAATGGGAATGGGGAAGGCTGAATCTCATTATTTAATGATCCAAAACAAACCTACTTGACTTTTTGTTGCAAACAAACCAACTACCAACTACAATGATAAGTTAGTGTCATTATTTGATTAAGGTCTGGTCAAGGTTTAGTCAATCGTATAAGAATTGATAAATTTCTTATCAACCCAGCTTAATCAAAATAACTTCTGATGAGCTTCTTTTGACAATCTAGGATATATATATATATATATTTACATACACACATCTCAAAAAGTTTATGAACAAAGTGTGAGTCACATAACACAAATCAAGGATACATTGAAGTCATTGCTTTACGATCTCAGCTACATTTGGCTAAAGCATCACAACTTCACAGGTAGCAATATACGTCCAAAAAAGATTCTTATGAAATTTACCTAGATCCTCCAATGTTGAAGGTTCCATTTTTCCGGCAGAACCCGTTACTCCATCAGGTCCATCTCCTGAGTTTTCCTTCTTCTTGTATTCATTTGGTCGCAGCTCAGGACCTATGTCTCTTACCCAGCTTGCAGCATAAAGTCTAGTTGCTTCCTTCAGCACCTGAAGAATATGAATGATACAATGAAGAGATGCATGTACATTGTGAATCTAAATTTGAATTGAAAAAATGCGTTCATAATCATGCCGAAGATAGATTAGGTTATGGAAATAAATAGATAATCTATTCAAGAGCTGATATCTATAATGTATATGCACTGATATATTCCAACTGACAATCGGTTTTCCCTTCTCATTATTCTATATAAAGGCAACTTTGTGGAAGAAAGAGGCAGTCATATTGCTTAAGAAGTTCTAACGTTTCAACATAAGTTATTCAATGCATAACATCTGCTAGAGGACTACTTGTTTTACTAATAATGAAATCTACCAACAATGAAATATATGATCTCAACTTTCAACGATATGTATTCAAGTTGATTAAGGGTACAAATTTCGCTGATTTTGCCGTTAGAGACCTCCTTGTCGCTTAATGGAAACTATCATATGAGAGCAAGGACAGTTAAGATTGTAAGTATGATTAGATATGAAAAGAAGAATCACCAAATATCGTTCTTTCCATGTTAATTTTCTCCGCTTTTTGAAATGAGGCGGATCGGGCAAAGACGAGGGAAATGCAATTTCTTTTAAATCATATCGAACGTATTCACGAAGTTTCCGCCAAACTATCTTCACCTTCATTCTGATGCTTGAATTACCTCGAGCAAATCTGTAGAGGGCAATCAAAGGAAGAGGAAAGAAGAACTAATTAAATTGGGAAGACATTTGTTTACAACAAGATGACCTATCCAAGAAATAAAAACAGAAGTGGTCCATAAATAGGACTAATAAAACAGAATGATAATAAATGCAGGCGTAGTCTCCTCGTTATACATGTCCGACCCAAGAACAAACACAAGTACTCCATAAATAGGTTGTTATCTAAGGAATCACTAGATCAATCAACAATCATTCAACATTTGTCAAATCTATAGAGTTATTGTTTCTAGGCTCCAAAAGACTGGGAGCAGTCAGAAGCAGCAGGTCTTATTTTTGGGTACCTTGGGTCCCCCTAATCCACCGGATTCAAGAAAAATGCCACCTCAAGATAAACCAGGCAAATTTCCACCCTTGCGGAAAAAGAAGTGGCCAAACTTGGGGAGTGTCCTGAGATCGAACCTGGGTTTCCCCGTTAGGGCACCACGTTGATACCAAATTTAGGATTGCACCTGGGTTTCCATTAGAAGCAGCAGGTGCAGGTTTGGTTCTAGAGAAAGAGAAATCAGTAACTATGGTACATTATAATACTACCCATTGTAGATATCATATAAAAAGAGTTGAATGGGTTATTGAAAAGAGCATGAAGAGGAAAAAAACAGTAGTAGAAACTAAGTTAACACTCAATAGAAAGCAACTGCAGACATAAACAAATAGAGAGTATGTCACTAATTATTTACCTCTTTTCCCTCTCTCCTACATCCAAGATTGTCTATACAGATAAATGCATAGACAAAGAAGCATGATTGTGTGAGAATAATGCTAGTTAAAAAACAAACTCCACCTTGAGGAGGATATAAACCCTTAATTTGGCACTCACATGGATCTGTAACTTTTACTGAACATAGTATCTATTAGCCTCTCTATTACTGATGACAGCCACAATATAAATATATGCAGACATGTACATACATCAGTGTAACTTGCTCTTTACTATCATCCTAACATGTAATTGTGACAAATACAACCTACTTCAACCAATTTCACTCTAAAGAGTTGCTATCAACTATCAACAGCAACCAATGGCACAAAAGAAATAAGAAAAATATAACCAATAGTAATCACATTGCATGTTCATACACACCAAATGATGAGGCACATTTCAGACATGCCTTTTACTACTAGCATATTAAACCTATCATAGATGCTTTCAATCAGTTTCCCATATTTTTACATCTTTCACTCGGTGGTATTATTCATGTGTGCTATTTTTTCTTTCTTTTTTCTAGATAAGACATCACTGTAAACTCCATAAGTTTGTCAGAGTTTATTGTATCAATCATTGATGAAATCCTATTTGATTACAAGTGCTGATATTATCCTAAGGGTTAAGAATACTTTGTTCATTTATTTATTATTTCTGTCTACAAGACTATGTCCTAGCAAAGGAAAGTATTAAACCCCAAATACATATAGAATATTCAATTATATTGGATAGTTCCACTCTTTGACTAAAGAAAATATGAACTAACTACTCCATTTTTACCAAATGTGATCCTCAATAACTTTCACATGTTTTAAACACTTAGAAACCCCCATGATGTTTTATAGGCCTAAAGCCCTTTTGTTTCTATATTTTGTAGTATTCTGTAGCCTACTTAACAAAATCTTCGAGGCCTATAGTCCTTCCAATTTTAGCTTTTGAGCATTTCCCCTGCTTCTAGAGTCTAGCCTAATTAAGAGTTTTAGTTCAGTAATAATGCCCTTCTCATGAATCCATAATGATCAGAGCATACATTATTTCAAGATAAACACTTGAAAGTATAGCTATTTATCTATCCTACCCCACATGATTTACCAGCTCTTTCCTAAAGATTTTGTTATCACTATACCCCCCCCCCCC